AACTCAAAACCTAAAAAATCTGCATGGATTCTCGTTTCCGTTGGGAGATTACATTGCCAATAGAACTAATTGTAACATTAAATTCTTACATTGGTTGCATAAACACCACACAATCTTGTGGGTTAACTTGTCATTCACAGAAATTTAGTACAATTTGTGTAGTTATCGATCATCACAGTTCAAATAACCAAAGTTATTATTATATGATAGATATTAGTAGATAATACCAAAATACTATACAATAAACTGTAAATAAAGACTAAAAATATTCAATACCTATTTGAGAACAGACAACCTGGATTAATATTTGAAAATGTGTATAAAATATTTAAATTGCATATAAGATAATTATAATGTGTTTAAAGTATCAATATACTTGTTTACGGTGTTGTAAAACCGTTCTACACATGACATCAATTATATGATACTTATATAATTGAATTTGAAATATCTAAAAAAATGACATCTCATCTTTCTATGATCTAATGTTAACATTTTTTTCGTCAATTTTATATTATAATTATTGAAATATATTTAGGATGTTTGTTCCTAAATGTGACAGAATTTTATTGATAGGAAAATACTTGTTTTATATTTAATGCTTACAGTAAGCGTGACCGTTTTCATAAAGGTTATGTAGCACATTTGTGTTGTTGGTAAGGTTTTTTTTTTATTTAGATTTCTTTTGTTTTCCCTCTATTTTTGTCGGTGATATGTGATTTCATTGAGCCATTATTAAATAAATGATTCATTAAGCGGTGAGATAATGTGGTGGTTATGAAACCAATATAAATATATATTTTAATGGCTCATTAAACTATGAGGCGAACATATGGAAACGCACGCGATACTTGAAATTGCCGATATAGCACAAAAGACAAAAATCTTTGATAATGGCTATCGATAGCCGAAAATATTGGATAATCTATCTATAAATACATAGATAAATCCAAAACTAAAATGATTCGAAAAGTAGAAAAAATAAATTAAAATCCCCTAACAAAGAAATTTTATTGGTCTTTAATCAAACTTGTTAAATGAAAAATTGCCGCCCAAATACACCCGATATATATATATATATATATATATATATATATATATATATATATATATATATGAGGTGTATAGTCGTACTGAGGTGCTGTGATACAGCGAAACAGTACTGTCTGTCATTCACACACACACACACACACACACACACACACACACACACACACACATATATATATATATATATATATATATATATATATATATATATATACTCATCCACAGACAGACTGTTTTGCTGTATCACAGCTCCTCAGTGTGGCTAGACGTCCGATTGCTTCAAGACGGGATAGAAACCCGACTGATTTGACATCAGTTAGATATTTTACCTCTATATCATCACAGGGCACTATATATATATATATATATATATATATATATATATATATATATATATATATATATATATATATTTCCGCAAGGAAAGTTGGCTCCCTGAGCCGCGTCAGGAGTTTTTTTCTCCTCAGTGTCGATCCTCCAGATCTACAAATCCACAATTCGCCCTTGCATGGAGTATTGCTGCCATATATGGTCTGGCGCCCCTTCTGTTTGCCACGGGGTTCTTGATAGGCTCCAGAGGCGGATATGCAATGTAGTTGGCCCTGCCCTGGCGTCTCGTCTACAGTCACTTTCTCACAGAAGCGCCGTCGCCTCCCTCTGTCTGTTCTACAAATACTTTCATGGAAATTGTTCCGAGAAGCTGCATTCGCTGGTTCCCAGATGTCATGAGTTCCAGCGCCCTACGAGGCTGGCATCCCGCTCTCACCCCTTCACTGTCGAAACTCCTAAATGTAGGCGTATCTTCTACTCTAATAACTTCATGTCTCGCACCTCTCGCCTGTGGAACTCCCTTCCCTATTCCTGTTTCTCTGTGAGCTATAATCTCCAGCTATTCAAGTGTAATGTCAATCGACATCTCCAGTTGCCTTGATCTATCCACTACCCTCATCCTTTCTTCTACAACTCCTATCTGATCTTGCTCTAAATTTTCTGTAACCCCTTGCGTCCTAGTGGCTTCCCGCCTTGCTTGGGGTGAAATGCTTAATATATATATATATATATATATATATATATATATATGTTTGTGTCTGATAAAACAAAGAAGAACACTATAGAGTGATCTTCGTAAAATATAAAACAGATTTATATATAAACGGTGCTAATATAAGAAATATAAAAAAAGTACGATATTCAAATATTGCCTTTCCGCGACTTAAAATTTCATTATGGAGTTTGTTATACGACAGTCTCACAATCTTCAGGCGGCTCAAGAGGCAAGTTACTCAATTATATATTTTCTCATATATATATATATATATATATATATATATATATATAATCTTGCTCAGTGATATTTATTTTTGTTTACATTTCAAAATTTTATTTTTTTTATTTTTCTTAGTTTTCTTCTTCTTTCATTTTAAAATTTTCTCTTCCAACGTTTTCATCTAAATTTATTGCATTTTTACCCTTACTCGTTCCTTTCGTCCTTTCTTTCCCACTCCCTCAGTCTTTCTGTTATTTGTACCCTATTTATATTGTTGGGACTGTTTTCCACATCTTTGCTGTCACGACATTTCGGCTAATGTACGCTCCGGTCCTTCGAACCGAACGCTTAGGTAGATTGTTCTAGTTCCTCATATCGGATATCTCAATTTCAATTATTTCCCTTTTTGTAACTCAACTTTTCACGTTTTTCGCCTCTGCTGTCGCCAGGTATTGAACTCACAACTCTTTGGGACAAGTCAATGGATTGCTTCAATCAACGCTTTTATCCTGTGGAACTTGTGTCCAGAAATAACTGAAACTGAGATATCCAGACGTGGCATGGCCTGAGTTCGGTTCGATATTCCATTCACCTGACGAAAGCCGGAGTGTACAATGCCGAAACGTCGTGAATATGACAATCTCAACATTCTAATTAGTTGCAATAACTCATCCCAGAAAAATAAACAAATTTTTATTCTTTATCCCCATTTTTCTTTTTAAAATTGATTTCCATCTTCATTATTTTCTCGTTTTATGTTTTTTTCTTTAAGCCACCAAAATATCAAGAGCCTGCTAACAGAAGTAGAAGTTAGTAAGAGATAAACGCATGCGCATTCGACTAAGCAATTATGTTTCCGCATTATGGCTGAAAATTAACGCAGTTTCTTTTACCCCACTACCCAACCGCATTGGCAAAGTGTTCCACTTCGCTTACCGTTTCTTGGCGCAGGAATTTTCACTGAAAATTGCCTTCCGTCAAAATTGGATTTATCCAATATCATTAATGAAAAGAACCCGGCAGCCATTTCTTATGCTGTTTGATTTTTAAGCTATCGATCTTTGTTTTTAAAACCAACTCAATTTGAAGACTCATGATTTATTATGCATTAAGATGTTTCGAGGCGAAATAACAACTAGAAAAAAGTTTGAGGCGAGATATCAACTAGAAAAGTTTTGAGGCGAAAGAATAACTAGGAAAGAATTTGAGGCGAAATAACATCTCCAAAACGTTTGAGGCGAAAGAACAACTAGGAAAGAATCTGAGGCGAAATAACAACTAGAAAAATGTATGAGACATAAAGAATCTGCTTGCTCGGTCTTCGCAAATACAACTTTGCGAAGTTCATCTAATGGCGTCTCATTGCAAACAGAGTAACACTATAGGAAAGTTTCTATGCCCTAATGGGCAGCACCCGACTGGCTGGTTGCGAAATCACATAAAGACCGCATAATTGTTTCTTTCGATATCGTCCTGCTCACACTTCTCCCTGGTCTTTTGAACAGGAGTAGATGTTTATCCCTTGTTATTGTTTAGGATTTAGGTTTTCGGATCCTTCTAAAATCTCTTCATTCGCTTACACTCCCAATAGCCCCTCACGTCTTAGTAGCGTTATCGCCTTGCTTGGGGTGAAATGATTAAAAAAAAATATTATTTTTAACGAGATACTTTCTCGTATTTAATATTGGATAAAACACTTTCATTGGGATTATAAACGCATTCTCATGGCACATCGACTGCTAAATAGTGGGCATGCAGTACTACATAAATTGTTCGTAGATTCTCTTGCAACCAAAGTAGTTTAGGAAATTCTGACGTAAGTATCTATTCGGCTTAGTCTGGCATAAGGCCATGTATTTGAGGCTCCGTATGAAGATCAATCGAGTTGATCGTACTCGTTGAAGCAGTAACCTAACTCACTCTTCATTTCCCTCACCCTTTCATACTTGATGAAGGATGAAGATCAACCAACATTTACAAGAAATAGGTTCATTCCAAGTCATATAATGTCTGCAACTGATCATATATATATATATATATATATATATATATATATATATATATATATATATATATATATATATATATATATATTTCAAATGTATTTTTTCTTTTCCAAAGCATATGATGTTTGCATAGATGGTCTTCTTTAAAAATCGCCATTGGTTTAAAATAATGAAAATGTTATCAGCAAGTAAACGTTACAAAATTCAAGACATGTAATACTTAAACCTTGTAATATATCTAGTCTTTTATGAGACAGTGTGAGTGAACAAGTGTGAACGAAACGAATAAAATATAATAATCAACGCCATTTTCTTCCTGAGATTAAGCGCGCCCTTCAGAAAACTAAATATTCATACTTGCTGTAGGATGAAGATCAACCAAATATGTACAACATGCCAAGCTGCACTCACGGTGAAACACATTTTAACTGAATGGATGCACTTAGCCCCTGTAAGACATAAATACTACAAGGAAACTAATATAAGGAAACTATTTCAAAATACTGAAACTGTGAATATAATGTCTTACCTTAAAGAAGTAGTTTCATCCTAAGTCATATAATGCCTACAACTGATCATGTATGTACAATATATATCTATGAAACATACGTTTATCCTTAAAGTGGGAAATTATTTATAAAATAACTGTAGTTGAAGGCATGAAACTGTGTTCAAAATAGTTAGATTTTGGCATTGGATTGCCCATAGGAGTGTTGATATGCTGCTAAAAAAATTTTAGCCATCTACATAACATCTGTATATGTCTAGGACTGACAATACAAGTAAGAAAGCTTCGTACCAGTCAGGGAGAATGGAGTCAGGTATCTAAGAAAGGCAGAGGTAACATTGGCTTTCGGTTGCACATTGGACACACATACCTGACCCTTTCATAAATACTGAAGGATGAAGATCAATCAACATGTACAACATGCCAAGCTGCACCCATGGTGAAATACATTTTAACTGAATGGACTCAGCCCATGTAAGACAGAAATACTACAAGGAAATCAAATGGAGAAAACTATTTCAAAACAGTGAAACCATCAACATCCCACCTTAAATAGGTTAAATAGGTTTATACAAAAATATATAACACTTGCAGTAGACCATCTACAAACTCTATATCTATAAAACATACGTTTATCTTGTGTCGTAAACTACAATTAGCTAGAAGAATTCACTATTATTTCGCTAGAGTTGAGTTTTAAGGACAGGAGACTAGTTTTACCGCCATCTATCTATCTATCTATCTATCTATCTATCTATCTATCTATCTATCTATCTATCTATCTCAGTCTCTTCATATCTATCTATCTATCTATCTATCTATCTATCTATCTATCTATCTATCAACTGTTTTTATATGGTGAAGATCTGCATTTAAATACAATATTCTCCCCCTCTTTTTTGACAATATAAATTTGGAATATTTTATTTTGGCAAACGAAAAGGAATGCAGTTTTTTTTAAAGCTAGCTCAGTCTGTTCATATCTATCTATCTATCTATCTATCTATCTATCTATCTATCTATCTATCTATCTATCTATCTCAGTCTTTTACTCTCTATATATCTATGTACAATTTCTTTTAATCAATTCATTCCAAGCCATGTGATAATGCCACTAAGATACATAACAAAAAAAACTTAATTATATTTAGGAAAAAGGCATGAACTGACATGATCAAACGATGCTGTGACCCATCGCCGTATCACATGAGAAAATAAGGTTTCTTTTGTTGCAGATATGAGGAGAGATTCTTACGTACGTCAATGTTCCTAAAGCATGAATCAAATTTTGATTAATCAGCACGCTTACAAAATCTTATATTCATCTAGGCACAGGGGATCCATTCACTCTGCGCGCTCTCCACCTAATTCACTTAAAAAAAAATCTCGTGTTTTTTTACAATATTTGTCGGATGTTCACACGACTTTCTTTTCGAAATTGTATCAAAATAAACATACGTGCAGATGCAGGTATTATACACCGAAAAATAAGCACCCTTACCGGCAAAATACGATTTTATATTTACCCACCTGTAATTCTATTCGTGGTTATCGAAGCACACATGCTTTTAATCCGCTACCTACGCAACTTTCTGGTAGAGTGCGAAATACAGTGTAACCCGGATATAAGAGAAACCCGGATATAAGAGAGATTTTCTCTGGTCCCAAATTAGAGCCTGTGCTATTGTATATAAAATAGACCAAACCCGGATATAAGAGAAACCCGGGTATAAGAGACTTCTTCTCCGGTCCCGACAACTCTCTTATATCCGGGTTACACTTTATCCACTCACATTTCATCCACTTTATCGAGCAAACTTCTGCGTAGATGCTGCCCTGAACACTTCATAACAAAGATCAACACATATCATATATCAGCATATATATGCTCATATTAATAATCATATCACATTCATTGCCATTGTAACAGTAACCTTCTATCTTGAGTGGCTCTTGAGCCTTGTATTTGGTGAAAAATTACCATAAATCTTTCTGTCTGAGTTTATTCATACCTATCACTCTTTCTATCTCATTCTTTCTTTCTTTCTTTCTTTCTATTTTTCTTTCTTTCTATAAAGCTATCTATCTCAGTCTGTTAATTCCTATCTATCTATCTATCTATCTATCTATCTATCTATCTATCTATCTATCTATCTATCTATCTCAGACATTTCAGTATCTATCTATCTATCTATCTATCTATCTATCTATCTATCTATCTATCTATCTCAGTCTGTTCATATCTATCTAGCTTGCTATCTATCTATCTAGCTATCGATCTATCTCGGACTTTGCACTATCTATCTATCTATCTATCTATCTATCTATCTATCTATCTATCTATCTATCTATCTCAGTTTGTTAATTCCTGTCTATATATAAAGGTAAATGACAATAGGAAAACTGTATTAGCCGACGCGTTTCGTCCACAACGGACATTTTCAAGACTAAATCGAAATGAATTTCTTGAAAACAAAGTAACTATTAACAACAAACAAAATGTCCTTAGCAACTGGAAGAATTTAGAAAACGCTGTTGCATTCATATTGTCAACGGAAAATTACGTCAAGTACTATAACGTGTGGAAACGTTGTTTTTATTGTTGTGTTGATGGATTCAACCATTTTCTTTTGATTTCTTGATACAATTGTGTACGTTTGTTTGGGAGAGTAGTAATTCTTTTAGGAAAGTTGATATTGGGTAAAAACCCAACCGTAGATTATATTATCTATCTATCTATCTATCTATCTATCTATCTATCTATCTCAGACTCACCAGTATCTATCTATCTATCTATCTATCTATCTATCTATCTATCTATCTATCTATCTATCTATCTATCTATCTATCTATCTCAGACTCACCAGTATCTATCTATCTATCTATCTATCTATCTATCTATCTATCCCAGACTCACCAGTATCTATCTATCTATCTATCTATCTATCTATCTATCTATCTATCTATCTATCTCAGACTCACCAGTATCTATCTATCTATCTATCAATCTATCTATCTATCTATCTATCTATCTATCTATCTATCTATCTATCTATCCCCGACTCACCAGTATCTATCTATCTATCTATCTATCTATCTATCTATCTATCTATCTATCAATCTATCTATCTATCTATCTATCTATCTATCTATCTATCTATGTGAAAATTAGTATAAATCTTTCTCTCTTTAACTCTATCCGTTGCTATCGAAGTACACATACTTTAAATCCGCTGCCTACTCGAGTTTCTAGTTGAATCATTTCGTCCTCTTGTGTCTCTTTCATGCGTCATTCGCTAGGAAATTGAATGCGTGATACTGGAAGTTAGCGTGTAACTTGATCGCAATCAGTCGACGTCACACATTAAGACAATGGGTCAATATTAGTACTCAATCGTTTTTCATCACTGCTTGCTTTGCGGACGGGATGCATCTGCATGACAATGCCCGGATGTTCAACAGTTTCACCCCAGGCTGAAATAAAGACGAAAGAAAGACAAAAACAAAAAAAAGAATCTCTCCGTTTCTGAGACTGACGAACGAAATAAGAAATTCGCCAAATTAATTTACAAAAACATAGTCTACACTTTTAAAATCTTTCTTTAGTCATTTACAAATTGATATCCACTTGAAAAATCGGCGAGCCAGGCGCGAATCCCGCCCAGTTCGTTTCGTTAAGTTTCGTACAAGTAATCAAGCTATACGTTGGATACTGTGCTCGCTTTCTTTGAGGTGGCAACCAACCTAGGAGAAGGAAAACTCTGAATTCAAAAACAGCCTGAAGAGGAAACTTTCCGTCATTCTATCTTGCCCTGAACGCATCATTACTACTTACGATCACATCAGGTTGAAACACACCGAAGTTAAGCAACGTCAGGCCTGGTCAGTACCTATACAGGTGACTTGGGAATACCAGGTGCTTAATCTTGGGTGTGTGGCCGTGTGATGTTTAATAGTTCAGAATTGTTAATTGGAGAGCCGAGTTCCAATTCCAGTTGGGTTCATTATATGTTTACTTACGCTCATATACACTTGGGAAACGTATGTATTCACCACTTCTCTCCCCCAGCTATGGGTTAATTAGTACGACTTGTATTACTAAATCATTAAAAAATTCTTACAATCCAAAAATATTTTCAGGCTTTTCTGCAAAGGGTTGATTAGGCGTATAGCGTATATTTTTCTCCCCGCAAAAATGTCAAATATTCAAGCCAGTAGACGAAAATAAATAAATAAACTGCTTAATAAATAAACGTAACGTCTACTCAAATAAGAGAATTCACTAAAAACCGTTTAAGTAATATATATATATATATATATATATATATATATATATATATATATATATATATATATGTTTGATCATGAGCCTTTCTTTAATTTCGGGTGAAAATAAAGAGAAAAATTGCCCAACATTAAACCCATACTCAACAAAATTATATTTCAAACTTGTCACAGCACATTAAATTGCATCTAAGTATATGGTTCTCTTGTTAATATTTCGGTCTCTCACGTGGTACAACGTCATAGAACCGTATCAGGAATTCACGACCTGCGTCTCCTATTCTGCGACCGTTATCGTCGCATAGCAACCATCTATGTCAATATAACAGAATATCAGTTGGGAATTGTGGCTCCGTTTGCTTCCTTTTTTATGGAAGAGCCCTCATTGCCAGTGAACCGGAAGTCATCAGGGATTGGGATAAATTGCCAAGAAGAGTCGCATGGTGTGTAGTTTAGAAGATGGAAAAAAAATTGTAGCTGACGGAAGGTAAAGAAGTCGATACCCGATCAGTATATATCTATATATATGTGTGTGTGTGTGTGTGTGTGTGTGTGTGTGTGTGTGTGTGTGTGTGCTCATTATGGCAAGTCTCTCAAATTCTGCTACTGGTAACATGTATTGCCTGCCGTATGCTCGGATCATCGGTGACTAAACCGGCTATTTTAGCGAGGAAGGTGGCTTAACATTCAGCAGGATTAAAAGTAAGACGTATTAAAAGGTGATGATCTCTCTTATCAGGCCAACAACAGTCTAAACAAAGTAGATGGTTAGATCGCGATGTATACGGCCAGTGATGACACTGCATCGCTGGGCAGAGAAATTCCTAGACTGAAGGGCCAGGGTGAGGGGTTTGTTTCGAGGGAACGTGTCTGTGGCTAAGGTGACCTTCAAGTTGGAGGACTTTGAGAAGGCTGTGCTCTATCAGGTCTACGTGTCTCAGCTCGTCGATTATCTATCTATCTATCTATCTATCTATCTATCTATCTATCTATCTATCTATCTATCTCTTTCGGTTTATTCATATTTATCTATCTATCTATCTATTATTGTTATTATTTAAAAATATGTTTTCATCGCGACACAGAAATGACTATGTTACGGAAGTAAAAATTAAAATTAAACTTTTTGTTCCATTTTCATGCGATGTTGAATGACTTCAGAAAAATTGATTTACTTTTTGAGGAATGTAGTGTTTAATTATTTAAGAGAGATTTTAACATTTTAAATGGGCGCTGTCTTTTTTGACGAGTCAGGAAACAGGGTCTAATCTAAGATGGAAAAGTGAAAATGTAGGTTAAAGTTTTGATGTAGGTATGCAATTTCTGATTGCCAATGAAGGCTTTACTGGAAGAGACGTGTCACCTTGTCCACCTTTGTTAGGAACATGTAAGATACATTCAAATTCAAGGAGTGATATGTATCGAACAATGGGTTAGTTTATATTTATTATTTCAATTTATTTTTAAAATACACTGGGACTGTCTTAAAGGGGCTTTAAATATAATTAAATAATATTTTATATATTTATATTTTTGATTATAAAGATCTAAATATATTTAATGGTACATTACATATGGCATTGTTAAAATTCAAATTTAAATTTAGGAATTAAGTACTCATGTTTTAATTGTAATCAAATAATAGATATATAATTATGAAAGTTTTTTTTAAATTATGTTTTAAAGTGTACATAGTGCAATGCCTACAAAAACAGTTATTTCTTTTCGTTGATTTAATAAATCTTTATTTTTAAGAAACTTAATACTTTATAACTTTTCATGTAGACACAAAGGTGATGGGTCATTTAAGGATGTACAAGTTCTAGTTTGTTTGTTTTTTTTTTTAATAATATCCGTTTTACAGTGGGACTTTTATTTGTTTCTTTTAAATGCCAAAATATTTAGATAAGGAAGTTTGGTTACGATACTCATTGTTTTTGAAGGAATAGGTGCTGTTCCATCTTAATTTAAACTCATTTTTCGTGCTTCCAATATGAAATCCTTTAATATCTGGATTTTTAATAGATGAAATAGTACACTGGTAAACTATAGATTATGTGAGGCATTTATTATTTGATATGTCCCGCAATGGCATATATTTGAACGAAGTAGCTAAGTGGTTTTGACTACTATAACCAAGTAGAATATGGTAGCAGTAATCGACAGGTACGCGTCGTAGTCGTAGGTAAGAAGTGTAGATCAATGGCGTAGTCCAATGGGCGTCGTTATAGACTTAGCTCTTAGACTAAGGCTTTCCTACACGTCCGTCGGTATTTATGATGGACACCAGCAAATCATATTCCAGTGAGTGGAACACTGGTGTACGCATATTCCATTATATCATTATTCAATGGACAATTTATGAGATTCCTACATTTACATAATTTTTCATTACTATTATTTATTCTCTTTTCTGGACAACATTTTTTGATTCTGGTTTAAATATTTATTTAAAATTTTATTATTGTTTTTTTTTTTTTTAATTTCTTCTAAATTTTCAGTACAACTATAACTTAATTATAGGATATTTTTATTAAAAATCTTGCCAAGAGGATTATTTGTGGGAAAATGTTTTTCAATCAAAGCAAGAATTTTTTGTCATAACTTACTACTAACCATTTGGTTAAATGGGAGTGTGTACCAAATTATTTTTCTATTTCTATTTCTTCTCTGGGTATTTTTTATTATCATTTTATATTTAATGTCGGGGCATTTATAGCCACTATTCTTTAAAGCTTTATCATAAAAATTACAATGATCATAGAATATCTCTTCATTAGAAGAATTTATACCAATTCGTTTCTCTGTGGATAAAGGTATGTTTTATTATAGATAGGGGGTGATTCGACTTCGGGTAGATATATAAAAGATTAGTATTTGTTTTCTTATAATGTTGGTATATGTTTCCATTAGATCTATGTTACATCGAGGGAGTTTACATTTTCTTAATTTAGTATTAACAATAACTTTAAATTTAGGCACTTGAATTCTCCATGTATTAGTTTTCTAATCTTGTCAATTTTGAAGTTTGTTGACTTCCTCACAACCATAAGGCTATCATCCCTATACAATCCAATATCTTCTATATTAATTTCACGGTGGGTTGTGAGATTTTACAAAATAAATAAACCAACAAGATCAGAAGACTACGCAGAGTCCAACGACCCCACTATAATATCAAAATTGTTTCCTGGATTTTATCCACTATTTATGAATGAGAACAGATTTTTTAAAAAATCATAATTATGTTGCTTTCCTCATTAGATAATAAATCGAACCAGGCCTGAGATTAGTAAAATTAGTAAAAATACTGGAAACAGTTAAGAAACAAATTAAGGAGTACCTGGGATTGATCAGGAGTATCTGGGATTGACCGGCAGTACCTGGGATTGACCAGGAGTACCTGAGATTGACCAATATAAAGGATATGTTTATGTGTGTGTGTGAGAGAGAGAGTGTGTGTGTTCGTGTGTGTGTGTGCCAGTCTGTTCATGTCTATGTATCTTTCTATCTATCTATATATCTATCTATCTCAGTCTGTTCATACTTATCTATATATCTATTTCACTATGTTCATATCTATCTATCTATCTATCTATCTATCTATCTATCTATCTATCTATCTATCTCCTCTGTTCATTATATATATATATATATATATATATATATATATATATATATATATATATACACATGTTTCTTCGTATCAGTCTTTCTATTCATCTATATCTATCTCTATCTCTCTCGGTATATTCATATCTATCTATCTATCTATCTATCTAAGATGCCAAGTATGTATTCTGAACAATATAGACAGATACTGTATATACGATATATTTCGTGTGGATTCATATTGATATTTACAAAGAGATTACAACGTACTCAGAAAAATGTCGTGACCTGAGTAAACACAGGAGAACTCGACACGCCAAAGTATCACGTAACATATTAATAATCCCTTTTTGTGTCATGTATGAACAGAAATAATTGCGTTGATTTTTCGCGTTTGATTAAGATCTAGCAATGAACACTACACACATATCTATCTGTCTATACAAATCCATCCATCTATCTATCTATCTATCTATTTGAGTTTTTTAATCTTACTCTTTCCTTTCTTGTCTATCTCAGTCTTAATTTTATTCAGTTTCTCTCTCTATCTCTCTGTGTCCCTGTTTCATTTTATCTATCTATCTATCTATCTATCTATCTATCTATCTCAGTCTGTTCACATCTCTATCTATCTATCTATCTATCTATCTATCTGATTGCCTATCTCGGGGTTTTAATATTACTTTCTCTCCTCACACCATTACCCTCTCTCTCGCTTTGTTTTAATCTATCTATCTATCTATCTATCTATCTATCTATCTATCTATCTATCTATCTATCTATCTAATGTAAGAAAAAAAAACAGTGCTCAATGTTAAATAAAAGAGCTATTAATATATTAAGAAATATGCATAACATCTTACATTGTTTGCACAAATCTGAGTTCCATATGTTCTGCATTCGTCAACTGCAATTTTGGGGATAAACCCCGCTTCTTTGATATTTCTGTTTATCGTGTGATATATTTTTTTTCATATTCATTCCTTTTGATAACAACAACTTCTCTTCAAATTAGAATTTATAATTCTTATTTCCAACGTTATTTCCAATCTTAAATCTGGACCTAAATTCAAATCGAAAATTAAACTATAATTTATTTAAATATTTTTACAATAATAATAATAATAATAATAATAGTAATAATCCAATAAACCTACAATAAAATATCTCCCAATAAGCAGAAATATTATAGAAGCGGTGTTAACACAAACTTTACAACCTGACGAATGCAAACGTATGAAACTGCGAGTTGTGCAATCAATGTAAGATATATATATATATATATGTGTGTGAAAAGTGTATATATATATATATATATATATATATATATATATATATATATATATATATATATATATAATTATTTACATAATATATGCGCGGTACCTATTAGGAAGCGGTCAATATCAGAGATAGAGCTAACAAACTCACATCAATCCAACCAAATATATATATATATATATATATATATATGACAATTTCTCACAGTTAACCGGTAGAAAAAGAGACAAATTTATAAATGTAAACGACAATAGGAAAACTGTAATAGTTGCCGACGCGTTTCGTCCGATGTAGACTTTTTCAAGGCCCCCCCCCAAAAAAAAAAAACGACATGAATTTATTAAACAAAGTAATTAATTCTGTAAGAATTTAGAGGATGCTATTTTCATACTGTTAACTGAACAGTAACTGACGTGACAGTAATTGACATAATTTTCAGTTAACAGTATGAAATAGCGTTCTCTAAATTCTTCCAGTTGCTAAGGACATTTTGTTTTGTTATTATTAGGTATTTTGTTTAATAAATTCATTTCGTTTTTGCCTTGGAAAAGTCCACATCGGACGAAACGCGTCGGCAACTATTACAGTCTTCCTAGTCTTTTACATTCATATATATATATATATATATATATATATATATATATATATATATATATATATATATATATTAACCTGCCTCTTTCTATCTTTATTTTTTATTTCTGTTAAAAATAAAAATTAGAAAATATTTGATTAATATTCTTTTTCATTTTCCTTTATCTCTTTGTCGAACAATCTGTTGATCCTGAAAAATAATTTGTGTGAAATACTTCGCAACAGAAAAATAATTCAAAGAGTTTTATCAGTACCTTTTTTTGGTTACGTTTGCTTCTTTTGTTTTTGTTTTGCTCATTGTTTTCTAATAATCAACTCTGTCGTGTAAATACCAGTTGTTCTTCGCAAGATTCTGGTCAGACTTGGCGCCATTCTTGTAAGATAAACCTGCATCTTTTCCAGACGTTGGCGTAAGGAATACAAAAGTTTCTCAGAAGTAATCCGCGTAAACACTTTTCACAGTTTATTGTTTTACCGACTTTTCCAAATGTTTTTTTTTCTTTTTTTTTTCTTTTAATGTATTTTGTCTCGTATACGAGTTTTCTTTTTTCCATTTCTAAATTTCTACAGCAAGTCGTAAAAAAAAGGCACATTGAGATCGAGGCGAGATTTCGCAATTTCTTTTTTTCCCTTCATTTTTATTTTCGTAGAACGGTAAAATGAGTTGTACAATGAAATCGAAACTGCTGTGATTAAAATAATGTCTAGGGGCTGTCGTCGAGAATATATTCGAGAATTCGAATTACAATCCGATTTAAAAATTTATCTCTGCTTATCACTTCGAAGAGAAAACTCTTCTCTTCTGGGAGGTAAAGAAAGTCTTTCCAATAAATATGTCAACGTCTGACCAAGGTGACTCTGAAAGCGGTTGGCTTTATCAAAATTTTCTTTATTATTTTTAATTATTAATATTAGTTTTTCTTTATATTATTAAAAGACTTACACCAGTATATTTTCTATATTATCATTAACAAGCTTCCTTAATAATCATATTATATTTTTCATAGGTGATAATAATATTTAATATCTTCTACTAATACATACATACATACACACACACACACACACACACACACATGTATATATATATATATATATATATAATTATTTTTTATAAAAAAATTTATAACATAAATATGTTATAAAATCACTACAAAAATAGCCATTTGGTTTCAACACCCTCGGTGTCTTATCAAGTGATGATGTTGAATGTAAAATAAATGGTTTTAAAAGTTTCGAATTAATTAACAATCCTTCACAAGGGGAAAACGTTGTTACAAAAGCTAGATGGACCAATCAAAATACAAGTATAGGAAAATTCAAAAAGCTTGACAACGAAGTCATGTTATAATAGCTATTCAGATCTTTAAAATACGGGTAATATTAAAAAAGAATTTATTCTAACCAATAATTATTAAATTATATGATAAAATTTGATATTAAAATTAAAAACTGCCAATTTTAAAATCCAAATTTAATTACTATTAAGTTTAAATACTCTAAAATTACTGAGGAGAAAAGAAAAAATACATATGTTATTCAATTTATTTCATCGTTGAAATTACGTTAGAATAGACGCTACAATATCCGGTCATCCGACAATACATGTATATATATATTAATCCCAAGTGTGTGAATGGGGTCTTAAACTCACGCGCAAAACAACACAAACACAATCAGATTATAATACCTAAGCACCCAGACATTTTTAGATATATATACACACAAAAAAAAGCTACGAGACAGAAACATCTCCACGGCACTTTATGAAAAAATATATATATATATATATATATATATATATATATATATATCCATTTCACACTTTCTTTTGTTCTTTCTGGTTGACGAAGGATTCCCGATATTAAGCAACGTCGAGATTGTTCAGTACCTAGAGGAGTGACCGCTTGGAAATACTAAGTGCATTAGTATGGATATGCGGGTGTTGTAAAGGATAATGGCTCCGGTTCGCTAATCTGAGAGCCGAGTTCCAATTCCAGTTGGGTTCATTAAATTCATTTACGCGCAATTTTTCGAAAGGTATGAATCCACCTGTTTTCCTTCGAGCTATGGGTTGATTAATAAGATTGTTATCAATGAATGGTTATTCCGCGAAAAAAGGAAAAGTTCCAATAATCTAAAAAGAGAATTTTATGGCTTTAAATAACATGCAAATGTTTGATAAGTCATAGAAAACGAAACAATCTTTATCTATCTCAGTCTGATCTTTCTCTCTCTCTCTCTCTCTCTCTCTCTCTATCCTCTATCTATCTATCTATCTATCTATCTATCTATCTCGGCTCAATTCTATCTATCTATCTATCTATCTATCTATCTATCTATCTATCTATCTATCTATCTCATTCTGCTGATATCTATCTATCTATCTATCTATCTATCTATCTATCTATCTATCTCATTCCGTTGATATCTATCTATGTATTTATGTATCTATCTATCTCATTCTGTTCATATCTATCTATCTATCTATCTATCTATCTATCTATCTATCTATCTCATTCTCTTCATATCTATCTATCTATCTATCTATCTATCTATCTATCTATCTATCTATCTCATTCTGATCATATCTATCCATCTCATTCTCTTCATATCTATCTATCTATCTATCTCATTCTGTTCATATCTATCCATCTCATTCTCTTCATATCTATCTATCTATCTATCTATCTATCTATCTATCTATATATCTATATATATATATATATATATATATATATATAAACTTGCTGGTAATAACACGTTTTGCTTTTCTCACAGTAATTTGGCTTTTACCACAAATCCTTGCATATATTCTTCTCTTTCGACTGCTGACACACAATTATGGTTTCATCTCATATTGCCTGAATACATTTAAATAATTATTTCAATTAATTCCCAATCATTTTACAAATGAAAAATGCTGATGCCAAAAACATTTCCTTTAAAACTCTTTAAAAAAAAACTTAAAATATCAGAAAGGTTTGATTTACATGAGAAAGTTATTCGAATATATCCATAACTCCTTACTGGGAACAAACAGCCTGCACGCGGTTAGAGAAAATGTTCACTCAATACAGGAAAATAGAAGAGTATAACAAGAATGGAGCGATTTCTACTAATTAGTGCCAATAAGCTCTTTTCTGGTCTTTGTTGGTTAGAGGTCTCAAAATCTTTCTCCTCGGAATCCATCTTGGACATTATTTACATTATTCGGACTATTCTCCTCATCTTTGTCGCCATACTTATTACAACGTTTCGGCCTTTCAGTATCTGTCTATATTTCTGAGACGAGGTATTATGTACACTATTTACATTATTAGGACTATTGTCCTCATCTTTGTGACCATATTTATTACAACGTTTCGGCCGTTGTACGCTCCGGCCTTCTTCAGGTGGTAGCTTGCCATTTCTTTCTGCGGTAGACAAGTTGTCATTCAAGGCTATAGAACCCAGTCTGTCCTGCTATTTACTCATGGCTTGGGTGGGGGAAGAAGAAGAGGATTCATACCTTTCCCAAGGGTATTTAGCACGTAAATGAATAGATTCGACTGGAATTCGAACTCGGCTCTCCGATTCCTCAATCCGAGCCGCTTTCTATTACTCCACCGTGCCTACATGATAACTACAATCTTCAATAATTTAAATGCAACGTCAATTGCCATCTTCTTAATCTCTGTTCGGCATTTATTCTTTCTTCCCCACGCCCAACATACCAACTCTTTTCTCTCACCTTCATTCTCTGCATCTGAGTGGCTTTCCCGATTCCTTGGGGTGAAAATATTAAGAAAGAAAAGAAAAAAAGATCTTTCTCTTTGCCGTTCATGGGTAAGAATGGGTCATAGGGCTACTGCGCTGGGCCAACGCGTGTTGGTAAGGACTTACAGCCCCTGGTATTCGCAAGCGGTCACCGATTCAACGTTCCTTAGCATCAGTGATCGGCCAAGAACCGAGGTTTCAATGAAATATATCCGTAAGCATTCTAGGAACAAGGGACAAGAATTCGAATCTTGCATGAAACAGGGTCGTTTGATATTTCTTTCTTTTTTCTTTTTTTTTTTTTGCGACTTAATTTGCAGGCCGGAGAATCTATCGGTAGAAAAAATAACGGTGTAATTAGAAGTACAAATGATCCAAATATTTAATGACAGTAGAAATATTAAAATAGTAACATTTGTTGATAAAATTTCTTTTGTTTTAGTCCGATTCAAGTATAAAGGAAAATATTATCTTGGAAAGACGAAGAAAAGTCGATGAGCGGAAAAAGTTAAAATAAAAGAGAGAAAATATTTAGAATTTTCAGACAGACAAAAATATGTTCATTGTTTTATCGATTATACGTTATTTCGTCGTATAAACAATGTAATATAAAAAAATCGATGGGCCAATTAAATGAAGATGGCATGACGGGCAAAAAGGATAAAAAAAAACAATAAGAATCGATATCTTACAACATGAAATGTGGAAGAAAAACTAATATTTTTATCGGTAAATTTCTTCCAAAAGTAATTCTTATCTATCTATCTATCTATCTATCTATCTATCTATCTATCTATCTAAGTCTCTTCATTATTAATCAAGAAATCTGTCTTAGTCTATTCATTATCTATCTATCTATCTATCTATCTTGCTAAGTGTTTTCATTATCAATCAAGCAATCTGTCTTAGTCTATACATTATCTATCTATCTGTATGTCTCTTCAATATAAATCTATCTATCTATCTTAGTCACTTCATTATCTATCTATCTATCTATCTATCTATCTATCTATCTATCTACATAGATAGGTAGGTAGGTACGTGAGTAGGTAGAAAGGTAACCCAAAGGTAAAGTACGCCAGGCTAAAATACGGTTATTCCCAGGATACAGGAAATGAGTGTTCGATTCTAGTCGAGTCGTACGTTTTCGTTAATAAGATTTTGGGTTTCTAGGTCACGTGTCCACTCAAACATGGGAATCTATTGAAATAACAATCAAATTAATAAAATATGTTCTATTTCTTTCTTTTTTATTATCTCTGTATCTATCTTTTAAATATTTTGCACGTTGCACCCCCATATATATATATATATATATATATATATATATATATTCTACACGTTGCACCCCATATGTATATATATATATATATATATATTTGTGTGTATACATATATATATGTTTGTGTATACACATATGTGTGTGTGTTTGTCTATGTATCTGTATAGGCAAATTTTGATTATATTCTTGCCACAACATCTCTGGGCAAACATAAATACGTACAAACATTTTTAAATTTCATTTTTCTTCCATAATTGAATAAACATATTTTCTGACGGCAAAATTTTCAGGAAAAAAAAAATTCGAAGATTATTTCTTTAATACGATTGCATCTAGCATGAAACAGACTGTCGCCTCTAAGTTTTGACTTCAATCACTTTATATATATATATATATATATATATATATATATATATATATATATATATATATATATATATATATAGGATGTAGTTATTGACCAGGCTCGACGTTGTTTAACTTCGTGCGGTAACTGGTCTTTCAACGTAATCTGATGTACAGTTAGTCCACGTTATTTTTAAAGATACAAATATTTAAGTAAATGCTCTGTTTATAATAGACAGTATTAACGACATTTACCGGCCTGGATGTCCGAGAAATTTTCATAGAAAATATGCGTCCTCCGGCAAGAATCGAACCTGTATCCTATACGGAACTGTCATATAACCTGTCGGGATTTTTACGATTTGAGTCACCGAGGTGCGTTTCAGTAAGCAAGGTCGATTTTACTGTTTTTAAACTACAAGTCTCCGTGATTTTCTCTCTTATATTCATATTTGCTCAATGCGTATCCAAATGTAAACAAATGACGTCACACATTATGAAATGGACAAAGTCCGACAATTATTTTAAGAATTTTTTTATGTTTATACGTTCTTAAAATAATTGTCCATTTCATATATATATATATATATATATATATATATATATATATAATTATTTATGAAAAATATGATTCCATCTCTACATAAGAATTCTTATGTTTCAAAACAAGAGCCGAAAACGTCAATATAATTATTTGAATTAAATTGAATTAAAGTACCAAGCTCTGTTCCATCTTAATAATGACAAAAATACTAAAGAACACACACACACACATATATATATATAAGAATTTAATTGTCAGAGTTGAGTTAGACCAGGAAACAGTAGTATTTAAAATGTGCTCAATACACATATAAAAAGATAAAAATACAACACGTAGATCTTTTAAGGATAGAAAATGAGGAAATCAGCCGACTCCGCTACTTTGGTTTCACAATTTCCGTTTCTCCAGGTGTTTTCAATCAATTGATTTCCTGACGCTTTATTTTTAAAAATAAAAGAAATTAAGAACGTTATATTTAAAACAAAAAAATGAATAAGTGCACGACGTGAGGTGTAGTAGATGGTGAGGGGGAGGTAGAGGGGGAAAAATTAAGTGTATTGTAAATATATCGGTCGGGGATCAAATGATATCTACACACGTTCTTTTCATCCCACTTCATATGAACTCAAATGGAAGGTTTTAGTTTGTATACAACGGGTCATAATTTCTGATCTCTGATTCAAAAGTTTTTTTTGGGGTCTGGAAATATTATTATAGCTATTATTTATGGTTGACAAAGGTTGCAAATGTTCATTTGTAAGGTTTTGCTTTTTTAAAAATTTTCCAGTTTACAATCGCATCATTTTTTCTTTTTTTTAATTTAATTTCCACACATGATTGGCTGGTCTAGTGGAATTCCTATGGCTTTCTATCTTAAAAAATGACTTATGATTGTACCACCTCTTTTTAAAGTTACACTCAGTACACGCTATATATTTTTTCTAGTCATTTGTATCTATTACTTCTGCTTTGTAAATTACTGCTTCAGTTTTGCAAACTTACTTTAATGGAAATCTGCTTTTATTTCTACAGTTATATTACTGTTAACAATGTTTCGCTGCAGGTTAGTTTTGAAATTACACGCGTTTCCTCTTTTTATTGCGGTTTTCAAATTACTAGTACATCTGTAGCTTAATTTAACTGTGTTATTATTAAATATATAATTCCGAATTTTGGGGGAAGTGTTTCTTGAATAATTTGAAAAATATTTTCCCTACTTTATACATGACTTCTAAGTTAAAAGTTGGGTGTAATAAAAGACACGGAACAACGTAACCTAAATTAAGCTCTATGCCACAGTATAGTACAGTTAATACATACAAAACTATTTATATGAAGGCACAGTCTATTTTGATGATAGGCAGGGTGGGAGAGAAGAAATGTTCACCACAGTGGGGGTTAAACCAAATACTATTTTTTTCTTTTGTCTCGTAGGTTAACTGAAGTTAAACAACGTCGAGCCTGGTCAGTAATTAGATGGGTGACAATTTGGGAATATCATATAATGTAAGCTTGCATGTAATTGATAATGACTCGGAATTGCTAATCGGAGAACCATGTTCCAGTTCCGGTCGGGCTCATTATATCCATACCTAAAGAAAGGTTGGATGACTTGTCTAAAAATCTTATCTGCCTGGTCACGATATGAATATCCTGCCATTATTAAACGGAAAAATGCTCAATTAACACACTATTACACACGTTAAACGTTGAAGACAGACTAGTTACAAATGTACACGAATGACAAATGTAACCTAATCTATATAGAAACACAGCGCCATCTACCTTAAACTTTGTTTTAAACTTAATAACTTA